CTCAGCCCACTGTGCTCAGGTTTTACAGAGAACTATCTAAATCATTGCTTTAAGTTTTATTTCACTCGTGGCATCACCCTGAATGTGCTTACCTTCCTTTTTATCATTCGTGGTGTAGTTAACAGGCATTTAAAAATACAAGTCATTTTAAGATTAGTGTATAAAAATACTGCCTGTATTTGTAGTAGAGGCAAATTTGGGCTAGCGTTTTGATTCAGAATGATACCCCAAACTGACTTTTTAAGAATACATTTCAGCTGTGCAATATTATAATTTGACATCTGTATACAATACAAAGTGATCAACCCCAAAAGTCTGGTTAGGCATCCATCACCTTACAGTTGACCCCCAGTTTTTCTCTGTATCTATGAGCATTTATGTTTTGAAAACTGATGTTTCTTAACAAAAAAGTTTGGATGCCATCTTAACTCATTTTAGATTGTAAGATCTTTTTAAAGAGCATCTACAAACATTCTTAAATGTTGATGAGTTACTGTTTTTCCCATTATCCTAAACATTTTTTCTATATCCTAGAGAAGAAGGTACAAAAGTACTGGTGATGACTAGATTTCTTTCAGTAGATCCTTAAGAGTATAGTGAGGAAACTTACCTTGGGTTTATGTCACATTCCACATTTTAGGCAGCTTAAAGTCACTATCAGCCTAAGAATTGTGAGTGTATTCTTATTACAGAGTTTGTAGTTTTACCCTATTTTGTTGACTGTTAAGAATGTAAACTAGGAAAATAGACAAACTCTGAAGTTGCTGAGACACGAGTTCATAGAACTTTTGGAGAGATCATAGTTCAACAGCGTGTAAGGTTACTTTGAAAAAATTAAGCTGAATGGCAGTTCTGTTTTTCTTTGTGCTTTTAATAAGCACTCGTTTTTAAGGGCAGTTTATACTTTTCCCACAATCTGTTAGAGGGTTGGTGAAAGGAAGAATTTTAAAGTTAGCAAAAGATAAAAATTAAATCTATTGGCTGAGGCCTTGCAAAGAAATGACAACAGAACCTCTTATTTACGATAGCTCAGGATTCCAGTTACACATGGCACACACGATCTTTTTCTGACCCTGTTGTCTGTCTGAATAGATGAAATTCCAGATGGTACTGGATGTGTGTTCTCCTTGACAGCTGTCAAAGAAAATGAACTTTGTTTAGTTAATGTCAGCTCGGATGCAGTTGGAATAGGTTTTGGAACATGTTTATTTCAGGTTGTATCTGGAGGCGGTGGGGTTGGAGACGGTGTTCAAGAACCAACAACAGGCAACTGGAGAGGAATGCTGAAAACTTCAAAAGCTGAAGAGTTATTAGCTGAGGAAAAATCAAAGCCTATTCCAGTTATGCCAGCCAGTCCACAAAAAGGCCATGCTGTGAATCTGCTGGACGTGGTAAGCCATGCGAATGGGGTAAGCGCTAATAAGATAGCCACACTACTAGGAAAACACTTCAAAAGACCAAAAGTCACAAAAACGTACTGAACTTTTAACTGTTAAAGGCTGCCGTTTCAAAGCACAAAAGTAAAATTTTCTTCCCCTCACTCCATTTAGCCTGTTCCTGTTGCACGAAAACTATCTGCCCGTGAACAGCGAGATTGTGAGGTCATTGAACGACTCATCAAATCGTATTTTCTTATTGTCAGAAAGAATATTCAAGACAGGTTAGTACTAGAGTACTACATCAGACTCTAATACTGCTCGATGATTCCATAATCTTTTAAAGATACATGTGTTTTAAAATTTGGGGGCTTTTGTTCTACATCAGTGGATCATCTGCTGGTTTTGTTTTGCAGTGTGCCAAAGGCAGTAATGCATTTTTTGGTTAATCACGTGAAAGATACTCTTCAGAGCGAGTTAGTAGGACAGCTGTATAAATCATCCTTACTGGATGATCTTCTGACCGAATCTGAGGACATGGCACAGCGCAGGAAGGAAGCAGCGGACATGCTGAAGGTACTGTCAGGGGCTTTGAATTTTCACACTTGGGGTCACAGATACAAACACTACGTTGTTAATGCGTTCTGAACCTTGGAGATACATAGTCTTCAGATGATGGCTAGTCTTTTTTTTTGGTTGATACTTGATTAGATTTTTAGATTCAAATTCCAGAGAAGATACTGGTTAATATAAATCTACCCCCACATAATTCAGGTTTTTTGATATCATAACTTAATAAGCATCTATAATCTTTTTTTTAATCTAGGCATTACAAGGAGCCAGTCAAATAATTGCTGAAATCCGAGAGACTCATCTCTGGTGAAGAGAACTATATAATAAGAGACTTTGTTGACTCGAAATCTGCTAGTTACTGCCTACTTGAGTAGAATTTTATTTATGAACTCCTGTGTATTGCAATGGTATGAATCTGCTCATGTGAAGAGACTGGCTATAAACTGAAAATTTTACTCTGTATTGCAGAACAAATCATACATTTCATCCAAATAATAAATGGCTGTTTCTCAAGTTGCCCAGTACATATAATATACATCAAGTCTTCCTTGTGACCGTTTCATCTGAACTTAAAAAGAGCTGTGAATGTTCTAGTTGTACAAGCAGTCTGCCTGTGGATAAAATGACCTGTGTAATGTTAGTAGTCTTAAAGCTGCTGCCTAGTCCTTCAAGAAGAACGCACCCAGACACCATTTCCTACAACTGTAATGCATGCACACTATAAACTGGTTATAAACTGGTCTGGCTTTGAAAAATGTGAGTTGACAAGTTACTCACAGTCACTGTAATCCATCTGTCCTTCGATTTACAGTTTTATTGAGCTTCTCTGCGACCTTTGATGTGTTAGTAAGAAAGAAGATCTGGAACGTTGACAGTGACGCGGTATGCGTAATGTGTAGCTATGTAGCCCTTTCACTTCTGGGCCCACGCTGCCCTAGTGCGTTAAAAATCAAAATATCTTTGATCTTTTCGTAAACCTGGAAGCATGAATTACATTTTCCTGCATTAAAAACAGTCCTCTAGACTTGATTTTCAAATATAATAATTCAGATACATCTTTAAATTAGGTCACTTAGACCATGCTCCAAGATTCACTTGGAGGTGGGACTTAAAACCGAATCCTGTGCTGATCATTGAAGTATATCTTCTCTATCGGTAAAGAAAAGTTAGTTAACTTTTACTTCACACCAACAAAATACATTATAAAATACTGGTGAAACTCTATAATAATCTAAAGAAAAATACCCAGACACAGCCACACATCTGAAGGCTTAGACTACTAAAATGCATTCAGAGGTTGGGGGTGAGGTTTACAACATATTCATATTTTATTAAAATTCCCCAGGTGATTCTTGATATGAATTACATTATAAATTTTAAGAGACGGGTCAAAATCCTTAAGGCATCTAGCTCCATCTCTAACATACTGTATCTGTGATACATAATTTACTGAACATGTTAACATTTCTCTTAAGTTATGACATTTATGAAGGCCTCGTGGCAGGGCAACATGTCTGTTAACTTGAGCTTACGGCACCCATTTACTAGCAAACAACAGGCTCAGCAACTGATCTCAAACAAAAAAATGGATTCAGTCTTCTAGGATTGGTACTATTCACAAAGTAGTACCATATCTTGATAGAATGCACACTACCTAAGTGTCTGTTAGCACACACTTTAAAGTCACTTTGCCATTCTTCAACATCAGTATAGCCGTCCGTGATTTAACTTCAGATACATCAGATTCTGACTACCATTTCAGCCTTTTGAATTTGTAAGGGGAGAAAGCTTACAGTGCACCATTCTCCACTATATCAAACATTTCAAATTGAAGATGTTACCTTTAAAGATAGGCTATGGTAACGTACTTGTTGGCACTACACACCTTGTACAAGAAAAGCAAAGGCAAGAAAGGTATGGAAAGTTACAAAACCTTCCTTTATTGGCTCTCAAACTGAGGGAAGCTCTAATCTGTTGAGACGATCTGACGTTTACAGTGGACACCTGTATGTTCTTGCTATGTAAATAAAATTGCTGGTATGTATGACATTAAAGTTTTGTCAATAAATGAATTCTTCCTAACTTTGCTCCCAGAGAAAGGTTTAGATAATAGTGCATAAAAGTTTTACAAAATTTTTTCCTATTCTCAAAATTCTCAGAGATATCACATCTCCAGTTTTACAAGTGATTTGTTCCACGTAATCCAGGTAGTAAATGGCTAGAATTTCGGCACTAAAGCCATGCTTTGCTGCCTGTAAGGTTTTCTAGAAGGAATCAGATTGTGAACCATTTTGTATTTGTGTTTCACTTGGACCGTGATTTTTCAGATGTGGAAACAGTTCTGAGAATTGACTTGCCTAATGTATGGAAAGCTTAATTAGGTCTTGATTCTAAATCCTGAAAGCTTCCCTTACCTGAATACTTTTTGATACTCTCCTATGATTGGATATTTGGTATAATATTTGCCTCTATTTTCGCTCTAGTTACTTTTCAGTTTATCTCAAGTTGTAATCTGCTTGGGGACAGAAGCTGAAACTTAAAACTCATTTAAGTTTCCAGATTTATAAAATACTGCTACCTTAGTAATCTGGCAAAACAAGGCTGTGAGTAAATTTAATTATACTGAAACACAGGCAAGGACCTAGAAAACTGAATTAGAAACTTTCTGAAAAGTACAGATTTTTGTTCTTTGAAAGGAAACTTTCTACTAGAATTTCTACTGCCAACTATGGCTTAATGTATGTAATACTTTTCTTCTTCTTAAGGAGAACTATATTTGATTCATAAACAACAAAAAATTCAGAAATTTACAAGTTTCCAATACTATTTTTCACATTTCTAATGTAGACACTAGAAGCGCTGCTGGTATTCCTGAGTGAGATCAGGGAGATAAACCCCTGATATACAAGTATCCAAGACAGCGCCTGGGTGGCTCAGTCATTAAGCATCTGCCTTCGGCTCAGGTCATGGTCCCAGGGTTGTGGGATCGAGCCCCGCATCGGGCTCCCTGCTCCGCGGGAAGCCTGCTTCTCCCTCTCCCGCTCCCCCTGCTTGTGTTCCTGCTCTATCTCTGTCAAATAAATAAATAAAATCTTTAAAAAAAAAAAAAAAATCCACGAGTCCTTACTCTGCCCTCTTCTTCACTGTGGAGCAAGAAGGGTAAGATCGTTCTCTCATGAAACAGAATTTTTAAAAGAGATTATTCCTGGCAATCACGGTTTTCTGTGGTAGTCCTTATACCTGCGGCTCAGGAGATAAAATACCTCATTGTGTAATAAGCCCCTTGTCTTAACCACCCTGTGGAAATAAAATTACTCACGCTCTGAGGCCTAGAGTGTGCTCCATTCTCTGCGGTTTGACATGCATGAGCAAAAGTGTAAGTTCTGGAGCCAACCTTTGGTACATCTTGAGAAGGAGATGGGTAAGTCTGTTTGAACCACCTGAAGGATTTTTCATCATAGCTGCAGCCATTTTATAATGTAGAAATTCCTTTTTCCTATTTTAAGTAATGAAAGTCCATTCTTAAGAATGTGTTGTCCAACAACCAAAACAGTCTCAGGATTTGTTACTTGTCTGTGATTTATACTGACTCCACCTTCTGTTATCATCCGATACCTAAAAACAGAAATGTTTAATTAGAATCATCATTTCACTTACATTTCAGAGGCTCTCCAACTAAAACCACCCAGCACTGAATTGTTACACCTTCATGTTCACTCTACTAGGTTCTGCCTCCCTCAAGTGCTCTTCTAAAAGGAGCAGATTTAAGGCGTAAGTTTCTTGTTTAGTGGAGAAAAAGCTGGGATATTTCACAGCTTTACATAGAACTATTTAGTTGGTAGTGGTTTAAAAATGAATAGCGGAGGGGCGCCTGGGTGGCTCAGTTGTTAAGCGTCTGCCTTCGGCTCAGGTCAATCGAGTCCCACATCAGGCTCCCTGCTCAGCAGGAAGCCTGCTTCTCCCTCTCCCACTCCCCCTGCTTGTGTTCCCGCTCTGTCAAATAAATAAAATCTTAAAAAAAAAATGAAT